GATTCTTGTGAATAAAATTAGTCAATATAGCCAATCTTCTTATAAATATTAATTCCATCCATGCTAAACTCAACAAGATACTAAAAGAGTAATATTCAAAGATTAAGCTATATATAGATTATTTAAGGATTTTTTTATTGATGGCCTACTTTTATATATTAAAAGAAGAAATGACAAAACTAAAAAGAAAAAATATGCGATGTTTTTATTAGGCTTTGATAAGAAAAATAAACTTTATAGAGTCTTCAATCTTATTTACAGGAAGATACATTTGACTTGATATATTCTTCTTAATGAAAAGCTTATAAAGTACAAATATGCGAGTATCAAACTTTTCCTACTCAAGGAACCTATTCTATTCCAAGAACCTCTATTGCAACCTAAAACACTCAAGGAGCTGATATTGCTACCTGAAAATCAAGCCGCACTTCAAAATTATTTCAATATAGAACAATAGTTTGTACAGGACAATAGCATATAGTCACTTGAAATAGAATCCTTAAGCAACACACTACAATGCTATGGTTGGCTCCCAAAAACATACTTAGATACTTAGAAGAAACTCTAGACTTTGGAATATATTATCTAATCAAAGATAAGAGAGAGTTTTTTTTACCTATGCTAATGGAAACTAAGCAAGTGATACAGATTTATATAAATCAATCTTAGAAATTTTGTTCAAATTAGAATCAGCTTACATTACTTAATCAAGCAAATTGAAGCTATCATTGTTACTATCTTTGATGAAAGCAAAATATTGTGTCTTTTCTAAACTTACTTGCTATATAACATATTTTTGCCAATTGCTAAAAGAAATACAATTAGAAAGCAATGGATTGATATCACTACTCTGTGACAATATGAGCAATATCAAACTTATGCAAAATCCAATAATTTTGTCAAAGACATGAATTCAAAGAAGATACATAAACAAGTGAGAAATAAATCAAAGAGAGATGACAAACTAAAAATTAGAAATTAAATATATTTAATAAGAAATTAAAATAGCTATTACCAAATGCCAAAAAACTAGAGACTCTTAAAACTAGACTAGAAGCAAGAAAAGAATTGACAAGAGTGAAAAGGGCTTAACTTTTGCCTCTATATATACTATCTATCTAAGAGCTATGTGGCAACGTTCTATATGACCTCCAATAAGTATTTAATTTGTGAGATACATGTTTTAACTTGCAAGATAAGTTTCTTATATGTGTGCCATATTTTTAGCTTATAATACAAGCTATCAATACATGTGACATTTGGCTAATTTATTGGCCAAGTTTCTAACCTATAAATTTATCTATATACATGTATAAAGGTGAAATCACATCTATGAAGCTTCTAAGAAGCTTCTCCATAAGATATTATTAAATTAATCTATTTTTACTTTTTCGACCTATTCATATTATTTGAGAAATATATATACATATGTCCATGATAAATACACAACCAAAAAAAGAATATCAAATTTGACTACTTCATTCAAAAAAAAAATTAAGATATTAGTATTAAAATAAGTTATATATAAATCCTTGAGCAACAAGTAGACATATTTATAAAATCTTTAGTATATGAATATTTCATTAAAAAAATCAAAAAGAAGCTAGATTACAAAAGATCTCACCCTCATTACAAATAGAAAATAATCAATGGTCAATTAGTGCAGCAAATATAACTCATAAATAGCCTAACATATTGACACAGTTTGAAAGGCGATAGATACCTAGCATAGAACCTTAATTCCTTACAAAATCCTCTACCTTCTACCTTATTCCAAACTTCTTGAATATATATCCTTTATAACTCTTGACTTGCTCTTAACACCTTAGTCAACTTGTATATACTCTACTCCTAAAATCCATGCATATTACATAAAAAATTTAAGTTCTTCTTGTAGACGTGTTACCTATGCTCCAAGAAGAGAAACGTTAGAATCAAGAGTTATCAAATCCTACTTCTTCATCCTCCACTCTTTGTGTTCCTATTCCTACCTCCTAAAGTACTTTTCTTGCAATTGTCTTTCATTCTTCTTACTTCTTTTCATAAGATAAGAAGATGGACAGCCATGAAAATATGACATCATGCACAAGTTTGCAAAACCTTTGGATTGCCACAACAATCAACCATAGCATTAAGAAAATCACTTGAAACTGCAAAGTCAAGACAATCAAAGACTAGAAGAGATCCACTAAAATATACTTAAAAATTAAAGTTAAAGTACAGGTTGCATAGCATGAATAATTCCTCTACTAACAATTACAACCTTTCTAGAGTCTCTCAATATCCCTGTATTGAGACATTGGGAAAAGAGGAAGTACAAATTGAGAAAGGATGTTGATGAATCTATTCCACACTCCTCTTTGTTGTCATCATGCCACATCACCACTAGATTAATTAGTGTTACCCTAATAAAAAAATTAGTCTTACTCAATATTCATGTCCACAATGTATATATACCCCTTGTTCTGCTAATACATCTCCCTCTTCTGGTGTTGATCACACAGTGTATCTATTCTGTGTCAACCATGCAACAAGTCGCATGTTTGACACAGAGGTATAATTTACATTCAGCCATGGTGATGAGCTTGAGTATTCATGTTGCTAACCCTAGTTGCAATCTCAGATGCCCACATGATTGCGCATCATGCACCAAATTAGAGACGGAAGCCCTAATATGCTTGGAAATGGAAATCTTGCTACTGGAAGCATAGCATGTGGAGCGTGACTTAGCAAAACCAGACGCCGAGGACGATTGCAAGAGACTCTTTCGTGAAGTGGGTTTTGTCCTGAAATTCAAGTTCACAATTCCAACAAGCTTTCCAATCTGGCCTTGCACAATCTTCGAACCCGATGGTGCGGAGGACAATGCAGCTGTCGACAAGTCTATGGACTTCGGTGCAGTTGCGTTTCTGACCAACGCAGTTATACATGGATTGAATGAATTCATCTTTCTTTGAATCTGCTATGAACTGTTATAAGAATCAACATAGCTTCCAAGGTCTTTTGAAGACGGACCCAACTGCTGTGCCGCTTGCACATCTAAGTCCGTGAATTCATCAAAGTGATTTGCAGCAACAGCATTGCCTAATTTTACATTATTGATTGTTCTAGTGGGAGTGAGTGGCATCTCGGAAGTTAAGCACCCTTGACATGCAAATTTTGAAGTAATCAGGGTAATCTTTCATCGAGAATTCACATGTTCGTATCGTACTGCTCGACCCCCTTGCTACATGCGTACTTGTCGAACTCTCTCGCGAAGAAACTACTCATGAATTTCTTAATAATCTTGATTATTCGACTGGAGACGACCGCGATTGAAGGAGTAAAAGGGAATGTTGATAGTAGTCCAACTGACCGCATTCAATAGCGCGTCAGTTGGATTACTAAGCCCCTGGAACAATCAAATTAGAACAGATTGTCAGGAATTATTTAGTGTGATGAATTTATTACACATCATGCCATGCATCCCTTGCATTGTCTCAAGCTATAAACTCGACACTTTCTACGTCGGATACGCAACCGTAGAACACATTAGCTCAATTCAAGGGAAGGAAAAAACGACTGTTAATGTAGTCATCGGCTTCAGACACATTCAATTCTCTTGTCGTGAAGCTCAATTATGCAAGCAAAACCTTGACTCTTTAAGAGAACTCATCCTTGCAGATCTGACCATTCTGTAAGCCTGATTGACAAATTAAAGAAGGATTATATACACAGAAAAGGGTTGAAATCGGAGGATAAACAGGAGGTCGCCAGTAACCTCTTCGCAGAGGCCACCTCGCTTGGTAAGGCATTCAACCAATCTTGTCCAAGACCACGACAGTAAGCTCATTACAAATTTTACCAGCAGCACAACATCACTCAGATTAGGCGTCAATTACCCGAAAACTCTCGTGAAGGCAGAAGTTAAGCGCCCCAACAACCTGTCGCTTCAAGTTGATTATCACACACTAGTGCATTATCCTCTCCGCTCACCAAGCCCTAATCTCCTCTCCTGATCACCAATTCCCCACCAAAAGAGCCTCGCAACCAGAACAGATACCAAACATACAATGCTGGACTGTCCTAAGAATCGCTTCCCCTACGCAAAGACGTCCTATCGTAGCATGTTCATGAGAAGTGCAATTCGACCACCCAAACTTAGATTTCACTGATGAGATCTTTCCTGAGCAAATTGGAAGCTATCGTAGGGTTGAAAGCTCCAGTGGGTGGTACGATGACGGTGGTTCAGGATCCAGGGATGGAGAAATGACATTCGAAGGTGGGCGTCAGTTGAAAACTGCAAATGAAGATAAAAGCAAGTCGCGCAATCCACAAGGGTTCAACTCCCGCTTTGCGATGCATGGATTTCTCCCACTTCACGAATTCTGGCGCGCGCAATCCTCGTCTTTTTGCCGTCACCCGCGGGAACATCACGAATTCAAGTTCCTGCATGTTTGATGACCTACACGGAGGTAACGCAGAATCCCAATCCCGTGACAACACGAATCTTTTGAGGAATGTCTCAAGATGTCTCACGAAGGGAGCGGGGGCGAGAGCAGCGCGTGATAGCGGCGAGGTGAAAATGGGAATTGCGGCAGGTAAATCCAAGGCCACAGCGGCGAGGATTGCTCCTCAAGCAGGCAACCGTGGCGAAAGCATCTCGCCGAGACGACTTCGAGCCAACGCCCTCGTAGGTTACGGGAATGGGCCCCGCGCCCGCACGTCGTGAGCTGAGGCGGTTACCGCAACATGTTAGAAAGCTTTGTGTTGTAAAGGCCGCAGAATTGGGAAAGATCCTTGAGCTGGTATGCGCTTTGAGTGTGTGATAAGTGTCCATTGTAGGAGCCAACAGATCAATTTGATGTTGGCTTTGCGGTAGAGAATCTCGCAAATATTTGGACAGTTTCATTAATGCAGCAACTGTAACAAATTATGTCGTAGCTCTGAAGCATCCGTACTTCCAAAACAACAAAATTACAAACCGCTTAATTCTATGAATATAAGCTCAATGGCAAAAGTGCAGTGTAAAGAGGAATAGTTTATAAGAAGAAAAATGAAGAAGAATCACAGTTCATCAGCATGTAAATGATACAACGCCACCGCATGGGACTGGGCTCCACCGACACCGGTTCCTGTTTGCCGACAGAACACAGGCACGATCGGGATAATAGCTGCACTTGAATCTGTGCAATTGAATAGGATCGGAACAAATCATTGAAGACTGTCTTAGATGCTTGGCAAGCAATGCATCGACATACTAATTTACAAATGGGGGAGGTCCTCGCGGGGCCTGGCTTTGAAGAACACTAGTGAGATGTTTAAGCTTGAATCGTTGAGCAGCACGCAAGAGAGCTTTAGCCAATTTACAGTAATCTCAGTTGCGCAGCCTTAACGTCTTCTTCGAAGTACCACGAGGGCTGTCGATCAACGGGTCAGGGGTTGAAGCGGGAAATACTTGTACACTCAACTGGTCTTGCGTCAAGCCGTGTGGATGCTTGCAAACCTGGGTCAAGGCTGTTGCAGGAGGCTCATCACCGTTATCGTCCGCCCTTGGGTGCAGTGCCTCCGTCGGTCTCGCCATGGAAAGTCTCGACGAATTGGTCACCGGAAGGATCAGAGGATCATGGAGAGGAAGAGATTAGCCGCCGTCACCCCTTGGTTCTCATGATCGTGATGGTGCCAGCGCCTTCTGTGTGTATCTTGGTGCACGCCACCACAGATTTCCCAGACAGACCAGCTCCCGGAGGACTGCGAGGTCTTTTGTTCTCGTGACTGGAGAAAGGTCGGTCTGTCGGTGACGGTGGCGGGCTCAGCAAGATCTTGTTGATATCATTCAACGTCACATCGCCTTGAGCAGCAGAGGGTTTCAGCATGGTGAAGGGCAATGCAACCGGTTTGGGTGACTTGGTTTTGGGTGCGGTGGGTTCTGCAGAGCGCCTCCGACCTGAATTCATTACGAAATTCAAAGACGATCAATACGGATTTTGGGGGGCGGGAAGAAGTGAAAAGGCATGAAGCTAGTTGTTGATCTATAAGCGCCCACATGCACACTACTGTTGTGATTTTCAACCGTAATGGAGACGAGGGGTGTTTACCAGGTGTGGGAGGCTTTGAGAAAGGCGAAAGAGCGTTTTGCGATGCTCCAACTTCTTGTTTCGGTTGGATAGCTTGCCGTGAAGGTTGCTGGTGTTGCAATGGTGGCAGTATGTGTTGTTGGGAGGTGTCGGACAGTGGCATGGGTAGCAATGGCCGTTTCCAAGCTTGTAGTCCATAAAGCTCTCGGAGAATATTGAAGTTGTAAGTGTCGAGCGGCAGCACAGAAGCTTTCCTGCAAAACCAACGCAACCATCAACGGTCAATTTCGCCGATCTTTTGAGGAATGTCTCAAGATGCTCTGTGTTTGCATCACACATGATAATGTGCCTGAAAAAGAAACACAAGCCAAAATGGAATGAACCCGGTACATACGTTTGTGCTGGAACACAGTAGGGTCGGCTCTTCTCCAAAGTCTGCAACAACGTCCAGTTGTCAACAGGTTGTTGTGGCGGATTGGGAAGCACACAAGAGCTAATACTGTCTGCATGCACACGATAAGCCTCCGTGAGAAACAAAATTTGGTTCCTGATCAGCATGTGCTCAGAAATAAATTGCTGCTGTGAAGGAGCACAATCCGAGTCACTTCAGTGTTTCATTCGGTGGGAGTGCATCAAAGTAGGTTGAGGGAGGGCTCACCAGAGCCAGGAAACCATGCCGAGGTTGTCAAACCAGGTGACGAATCGTAAGGTGGCAACATGTAGTCATCGCCGCTGTACACTGTAGAAAGAGGCGAGCTCTGTCGATCAACGCATCCGAGTTCTTAAGTTAGACTTCATCTAGTTTCGCGGCTTCTTTTGCAACTCAAGAGTGGACAATGTGAGAAAAAGTAGGGGAATGTGCAAGGGAAAAGGATTGAGTCTTACCTCGTAGGACGGAGAATAAGAAGAGTAGGAGGAGTAGGTAGTTGTCGGCGAGCCGATGACACGTTCATAAGAAGAAGGTGAATCTCGGGCAAAGCCACCTGTGTTCACTCCAGGATTGAACTGCAGCATACGCCGCCTCTTGCAGCGCTCCTCTTGTTGATCGCTATGGGAGGATGACCCAGTGCTGTCACTACCTGGAAACATAAGAGGAAACAAAGAAACCAGTTGGGTTTTAGATTGTAGTTAGCCAGTTGAAAATGGCTAAAGAAATTGGCCGGCATTGACTTGAACACAAACTCATGCCTCGGTGCGTTATTGGGTACTACATTAGAAACTCCAAGTACACAGTCTGTACAAAGAAGATAATATGATTCGACACAAACCTTGGCTGGTGTCACGAGCATACGAATAAAACGTAGGAGTCGAAGGCTGAAGGCCTCTATCCGCAGGTGAGGCAGTCATGGCAAACAAGGTGTTGGAGTCGACTTTGTTCTGCAACAACTGGTCCCAAAAGGACGTGGAGATGGCTGCAGACACACAGCACGCCACACATTCTATCAGAGAATTCTCCACGAGGGTCAGCATTTGCCACGCTCTGATTATAACAAGTATCAAAAAGCATTAGGAAGTTAACGGATCGATGAAAAGACCTGTACTCAGAGGCGATCCTGACTCGTTCACAAGTGAGAAGTCATCGTGCAGGGACCACGGCTCCATCTTGGACCGAACACCCATTGTCTCAGCTCTAGGAGCGCACATGACGGCAACGTCGCTCAACATTTCGGGTCGTTTGGTTGCTCTCACACTAGCGCCGAGGAGCAATTCTTGCCGTGTTAGCATCAATCTCTATGCTCGACGCAAGGCGTCTTGGTCGATCCGTTTCATCAAAAATGATACTCGTCTCCCAAGTGTGACAAGTACATATCTGCACATACACCACACAAAGAAGAATGATCAGGTACTCGTCATACTAATTAGAATCACAGGCCCAACCAGGCACCGTCACGCATGATACATTGTTGTGAACTTCCAAGGCCTCATAAACCCTCAAGACTTTACGAACCTCTCGCTAAACCCCTTCAAAGACAAACATTGCTACTGTCTGCCAACAATGCCAACGCGAGTCCGTTACCAGGAACCGCTACTGTAACAATACGAAGAAGAATCGTTTAAATTCTTTGGAATCGGTGCATCCAGGCTCCTGATCACCCTCCCGCACCTAAAACCTTGTTTCCCTACTTCCGCTACACCAGGTCTCGGTTGATACAACTCCGACTCATCAATCTACCCACACTCCACCTCTCTCACCGCAATACCCTTCCCTCAGAACCCAGTTGCAGAAAAACCCAAATGCAGTGCATCAATTGCTGAACCTCGGCAAATTGCTGCGAGATAAATGTGTTTGGCTGGCTTACTGACTGGCCGACTGTGGGTGATCTGTATGAGTGAGACTCTCCGACAAGCTCTGAAGAATTGGAATCGGTGGCTACTGAGCGAGGCTACTTCCTTGAGGTTGCTACAATGGCTGCTGTAAACTCCGAAGAATTATCAGAGTATGCACGACCTTCCTAACCAAAGGCTTGCCGTTCAAGCAGCTCGCATTGTCACCATGTGAGCACCACAGTCCATGAGATGCTTAGTGAAGTGGATTGCCTCAGTGACAAACTCTGCGACCAACCTTCTTGCCACATTGTCGGACACATCTTTCTACACACAATTAATCGACCTCCCTGGTCTCACACCCTCCCAGACACCTCCATTTCGAGACCAGCATTAGACAGACACACACACCCACCAACCTCCGGAAATCCCCCCTCGTTCCGCACACTACACGCATTCACGACGAGAAATCATACTCTCATCCCGCTTCGACCTCTCCAAGAACACCCGCATTACCCGTGCTGCTCCTTGCTTGCTACAACCCAGCGAACAATAACCAAATTCCGACACCCGAATTCACTCACGCGATCGACACAAGACCGCACTACCGCAACTTCCGCCTCTCCCTCTCTCTCTCTCCACAGAAACTGCAATGCACCCGATTCTAACCTCAGAAAATGCCCTCAAGCTCCGATGCACGTTGCAATCCTCGTACCGCTTCGCAATCCCCTCAAACTAACTAACCAACCAACTATCATCAACAACAACAACAACTCTTCCGAGACTCTTCCAAAACTCTCTCCAGTGGGTGTAATCCTGTGAGCATTCACGCGAGGATTGCACACCTTGTCGGATCAATCAACGAGAGCTCACTGAGCTTAAGTCCCAGTGTAGTCTCTCACTCTCTTGCTTGCTCTCTCTCTCACTCTCACTCTCTCACACTGTCTCTCTTCAACCGATCAGGATTGCAGTAGTGCTCACTTGACTTAGCATGGCAAAGCTTGAGCATTTACTCAGGGCTTCTTCTCCATTTAATGCTGCCTCTTCCGGGCCCTCTCAGATCCTCCATCCCCTGTCTCCCCCCCCCCTACATGTCCCCTCTCTGTCTTTCTCTCTCTCTTTCTCTTTTTTTTACTCCTTTTCTTCTCCCATCGCTAAATGACTTTTTTAATCCATTGCACTATAGCATTCTGTTTGACCCCCTGGCCTCACCCAGCTGCATTGCCAAGTCAACACTCATCCAAGCCTGTGTTTATCCCCCTCTTTGGGGGAAGGGGGAGTACTGTACCCAGCTTTGGGAATTCTACACTTGGAGGGGTAGTACTACATCCTCCCATTGAAATCTCAACTACTCTCCCTCTCCCTCTCTCCTGCTCCCTTGCATACCCCTTTTTAATGTACTGATGGATACTTGGAGTGCAGCACTTTTGGAGAATGTTGTTGACAGTGGCCTTTTGGTATACGGGGCTTTACTGTGTGTGTGTGGAGACATGGCATTTGAGCTGGATTGTTGTTTGTCTTTGCTTGAGGAAGTCAATGGCCCCTCTATGCAAAGTCTGTGTGTGGTACAGAAGAATTTCAGACATGGGGATGCTTTGTTCTTTTGGGGGAGGTGGGGGTTTTCTTTTGCTGTATGGGTTTGTTATTGAGAGGCATGGAATCCCTCCATTCCTGCAGATAAGAAAAGTGGCATTCTATGCAAGATTTTTTGAATGAGGTTTGAAATTGCTGTGAGCATGAGAACATGCATGGCAGTACTTGGGAATGTCAACTAATGATATTCTATGGGGTTTGTGATGTGGGAAGTGGCACTGAATTCCAGGTCGTCCATTGTGGTGGAAGACATGGGACAATGCTCACAGGGGGAGTAGAGAAATACATATATATATATATATATATATATATATATTTGAAATTGAGAATCTAGGAAAAATAATAGTTTGAAATAAGATTTGATTGTGAGATTGAGTTACTCTGCTTTTCACATTTCACTATGATTCACCATAAATAGAAAAAAGAATGGAGGTTAGTTACCAAAACAGTAGTACCAAGTGAAAGACAAAGTACATTTTGGCTGGGCACACACATTCTGAAGCTGGTGCAAGCAAAAGGTAGGCTTCCATTCCATTTCCAGGGCATTGAAAAGCCAAATACATAGCTGCTTCAAACAATCCTCTTGCATTTGGTTCCTCTAAATGGAAGCTATAGATCATAAGTTTCACAGGCATTTAACTCAATTTAACCTTGACAAATGAGCTTTAGAGGTGGGAACAAGTGGGTTCAATTCTACAGTGTTGCCAGCTTTTGTTGGCATGAGAAACCCACAAGATACTACCACTTTTAATCCTTTATTTAACTTTTCACCCAAATTGGGATGTATTTATTTTAGCCTTGAATTATTCTGCCCCCACTTTGAATGTCTGTTGTGGAGAGGGGGGAAAAAAGCTACAACATCACAAACATTTGGAGGGAATAACATTGTGTATTTGGTCTTTTACAGTAAAAAAAAACATAGGGTGAATTCATCTTTACATCCATTCATTCATATTGCATCCCCAGCAGCAAGAATAAATCTACAGATATGTTAGCAAATGGTATCATATTCTTCTTTCTATTTATGGTGAATCATAGCAAATGTGATTGCTATGTACTTTCCCAAAATTGAATGGTATTGAACATATTTTTCTTTTTTTAATATCACTAACAAGGGCAGTCTGGAGTAGAATAGTAGTGGTCCTTCAAAATCTTGACTGAGCTGACTCTGCTCCAGGTATAATCAAAGAGCCATCAATTTTTCAATCCTTTTCCTTTCCACACAAAAGAGATGATGATTATCACCAATGACTAGACACTTGTTCTATAATAATTACAATGGATAAAATTGATCAAGTTTGCTTTTCCTGCTGCACTCTTCTTTTGCTTTCAATTTTTCACTCTCATTCACACACAATCAATAAAAGGAGACTTTCACCTCAACTGGGTGGTTGTAAATGCCTGTGTAATCCTACAAACAAATGCTCTACCCAACAATTGGCTCCACTTGGTGCAAGAAATTCAAGTAAATCTCTGCCCACAAATCTCTGTACAGTAGAAAAACAAATTATAGCATGTGTATGCAAAAAAAGGTAAACATCAAAGGTACTTGGTATACTCCAGCAATGGCCATATAACTTCAAGCAAATCCTCATTTGTAAACAGTCTGCTTGAGCAGGAGAAAAAATCTTCCTTCAGAATGGTAGGTAACGTAAAGCATTTGTTACATAGGAGAAGTTATGAGCAAGCAACCAGTGGAACCAATTGACGTGTGAAGAGTGGCAACTCAAAGGAATCCCAATCTCTGCCACGTCTGAGACCAGTAAATTGTAAGCTTCCCTGTTAGAACTGCAGAAGGTGTTGTTTCTACACAGTACACACATCTTTTCATGTGTGGGTGAAGTTTTCCATCTGAGCTCTTTAACACATGGGGTAAGACCATGGGCTTCTGGTGTCAGTACATTGTGCCCATGGAGCAGAGTAAGAAAACAAAAAAATTGCCCAAGTAGAATTGTTCACTTTCACATATTTTACCACGTGGGTTTATCAATTGAAGCCAAGCACTGGAGGCTCCACAGAAGAGGTTGATACGACATCAGACAAAGACATTATGGAGGCAGTGATTTATTTCCAATTTTTATTTTTCCTGCCCTTTACCTCTCTGCATTGTTTTTAACACTAAATTGGGGTTTTGTACAGGTCGCAGAAGCTGCAGAAAAAATCAGTTAAATTTTCATCTCCCTGTAGTCAGTTTTACTACAGACAAAAGAAAGGAGGTCAGCTGAAAGGGGGAATGCGCATGACTTGGCTTTGACATCACTGGTGGCAAAAAATTATGTGAGCATAAGTAGCTCTATCCAGGCAACAGTGACTTTTTGTCATTGTCTAGTGAGATTTTGCTTTTGCTTTTGGTTCAGAACTTGATTACCCAAATATTGGTGTCACACAACACCCAATTCTGTTTTTTCTCTGAAGTCAATTTTATCTCATAAATGTTTCCAGTTCCAAGGGCAATACATTCCACACCTCAGTATTGAATTGGGTTATGGCTCTTGAAAGCTATGTATTAGCCTTCAAAATAATGGGAAAATTGTTAGCCCCAGCTTCAGTGTGATCCCATTATGGCAATTGAAGGAGTCACACTGATTTGGCTATTTGTATTTTTGAAGAAAATGGGCTCCCCTGTGGTCTGTGACCTTTGATAATACATCACCTGGGGTGTATGCTCTCAATTGATAGTACCCCATCATCTTCTCTTTGAATTTTCTGGTGGTATTCTGTTGTCATTATTTTGCACTAAATATATTCTAGTGTTCAACCACAAGGCAATTCCCATCTAAACATGCATTCCTCTACCTTCCATGTTTAAAATTTCACCAGAACAGGCATTATCCTTACCTTCCAAGTCATCATTCTCCATTAGAAATCACAATTAACCTACCAAAACCCTAATTCTCCCCTGGCAGAGCTCCAAGGAAAGTGCTCTGTTTCATTAGGGTTTCCCAAGGCATAGAAGTAGGACAACAAACTCATGATATCAAAAATCCAGGATGTGGGGAGAGTGAGCCAACATCATAGGCAGCTCCTCCTCGCCTCGGCAGACCCAATGCCCTTTCAAACTCCATGCCCTGGAGACCCCAGAATTGGCTTAGAATTCTGGTCCAGGCCTTGTCCAGATGACCAGTGTGTTTTTTGTTTCTGTTTGTTTGTTTGTTTGTTTTTTTTTTTAAAATTTCCCCCCATCACACAGTGGATTGGTAAAAAGAATGTTATGGGTTCAGTTCACACTACCCCTCTTGGCAGCCTGCACACTCCCCCACCCAAGTTCCTTTAAGTGCTGTGTTGGACAATTGTTCTAACCAAACAAAGCACACTCTTTTTGACCTGTAGCCTTGGGAAGGGGGAAAACATTTTGAAAAAAGCCTATCCATCAGGTTGAGAAGCAGATAGCTAAAAACTCTCCATGAATCTGCACCCCTCCATACCCTCTCCACCATCCCCTTTCACAACCCCTCTGAGTCTCTTTTGCCAGCTCACTGGTTCTAGAATCTTGTCTGTGGTAACCCCCCCCCCTCATTCAATTCCCCCAAGAAATGGATTAGATGTTGATTAGTGAATCCAGAACAGGGCTGATTAAAATAATTGATGATTCTTGTACCAGTGTGAGTCAAGTGGTCAAAAGGGCTGTACAATTTCGTTGACTGAACCTTGATCAAAATTACTAATTGAGAAACTACAAAATTAAATGAAGGCTTCTTTACTCACTTTTGTTTCTTGGTTTTTTATGTGAAGAATGGCCTGGTTATCTGTAATTTTTGTTTTTAATGGGTATCCAGAACTACTTGGATAAAGAAATACAGCAGCTGACTTGCTTCCAGCATATAATAAAAGTTTATAAGAAAATTTTAAAAACGATTTTTTTTTTTTTTTTTTTTTTTTCTGGCTTGCCCTGCAAAGGGAAGAGATTTTTGAATCTAAGTGGGTCATGCTGCAGGTTCCTGTTAACACTATTTCTCTTGCCCAAAGATCTCTTCAAGCTTACAAGATTTCATCACATGCTCAGATCATTCCTCTTTTAAAAATCAATATTGAATATAAAACTCAATAATAATGATATGAATAATAACTGGATGGATAGGGAGTGGTGTAATTGCTCTGATGATGCTGAACATATTGAAAGCTATGTAGTGAATAGATTATGGGATCATCAACCCTCTTCTGCACCAAAATAAACATTAAATTTATCACATCTTTTCTTCAAGCGTAACCAAAACGTAAGTGATTTTTTTTATTTTTATTTCTTTCATTTTCATTTTTAAATGATACATGTGAATCAACTTGTGGCTTGCCAATTATTGGTACAGTGTTCATACAGACAAACAGTTGAGACTAAGGAAAAATCATTGTTAAAGCAATCTCAACAATTTTGGGCTACAATCCACCATGCAATCTTACAAAAAAAAAAAAAAAAAAAAAAAAAAACA